AGCTTTGCAGTCTGAAAGATCTTGGCTGCTGCAGAGTGTATGAAGATGGAGTCAGTGCAATCCTGAGGCTGCGATGAGGCACAGACAGCAGCAGAGGGAAGAGACTCCAGAGCACATGCCAGGATGGGGGAGGAAAACACTTTTAAAAAAATGTTTTTCTGACACGATGGCTTTTTCACTGGGGAGTGCTTCCCATTGACTTTCTTCTAATCAAAACAAATATACCACACCTACCTTTGGTCAGAAGTTGCCTGCCAGTATCAGCCAACAGCTGGGCTCCTCAGCCATACATTTATCTAGTATTAAGCAGGGACCAAAACACTAGAAACAATGGTTGGCATGACACTATTTTTCTGACCTTACTTCAGTGTTTTCTTGTTTCCAGGGCAACTCACAGAACTCATGTAAGAAAATCCCTGTCATAATTGAAAAAATAGATTTTTATTTTTAGATTTGGTTAACCTATCCATTAAGAAAAGGAAATGAAATCAAATGAAATTTGATTGGAGCTGCAGAAATTGGGAGCTGCAGTAACACTGCGTTAGGATAAACACAATGTTGTCATTGACTACATCTGTGGAAACAATTAATTGAAAGTACAAGACACTGTTGTTTAGGGAGGTCCTGGGCTGGTTTACTCCGGTTACTTTGTGTCTTAGCAAGTTATTTCATAAAAATATTTCAAACATATTGTGACTACTGTACCTTCCTTATGCCGCCTTTGATTTTCTTGGGTGATTCAAAATTAACTTGCTGATAAAAGACCATGGGAGCCAAACCTTCCCTTCCATTCACTTTCAAAGACACAAAACAGTGAATCAAACTTTGGTTTTCTCCAGAGAGAACATATGATAGTCTCAAATTGCATACTAATACCATGAATTATTCAAAATCACAGCAGGTAACAACAAACATTTTGTTAAGCATAATGATACAGCTTAAACATGAAAAAACGTAGAAGGAGTATAATTAACAACTAGAAAATCAGAGTTCAATGAAATAACAAGTCCAATGTTGCTTATGCACTTCATTGGTGGATGGTTCATGGCACTAGACCCAGGCTTAAGCAGTGCAGAACTGTTCTAGCCCCAGGAGACACAAAGCATCATATATGCCCTCTTGCTCAACAAAAAGACAAACCCAGAGGTCTGTAAGGAGACCGACTTCACTGCAGCAAACAGGAGATGAGACAAGTCTCCATATTCTTCCAGTTTGCTTGTTCTCATTTGGAATATTTGGAGAGGAATTCGAGAGAGACCATTCTCCTCTCCTTCTAGCACATTTATCCAGTACAATCATGCCCCAACTAATTAGGATCAATATATTATACCCTACCATCATCAATAATTCCAGCCTTGTTTTCTAAATGTGAAAAATGAGGCCTGGAGTTTAAGAAACATGCCCTCTGTCGTTAAGCAAAGCACAAGGGATACTTCGTGGGACTAATTAGTACCTCTTCTACGCTGCTGTCTGACTCAGCACAATGTAGGGTATGCTGTATTGATGTATCTGGAACACAGGACATTAATTCCAACACAGCAACACAGATTATTGGAAGTGAGGCTTAATGTTTTCATGGTTTGAATTGTTCACATAGTAACTGCACAGAGGAGGTTATTCAGAAAAATAAAGGGAAGTTACATATTTCCTGGAAACTGAAGCAAAGATCAGTCATTCAGAAAAATACAGATCCCTCCTTTCTCTATCTTATGAAATATATCACAAAAAAATATCATTTTAGAAGTCTAAGAGAAAGTCATGGCACATGTCTCCTCAGAAAACTTTTGCACTGTTTATGAGGTGAAAATACAACTCAAGAAAGAAGAAAAATGAAAATATAAATACCTGCTGCAGTGCTCTTTAATGTTAACAGATGACCTTCTCTTTTGACTGAAGGCCTCAGGTTGGAGATAATACATCTAACGTATTACCAGCTATACCTCATTCATTTCCAATTTACATTTTGTATCTCCCCAGGTAATCATTATTTCACGATACAGAAAAGACAATTCAAATCTTCCTAACACCCAGAAGTCATATTATTCTAAGTTAAATGAATTAAGGGATGCCGGCAAACTCAAAGGGAAAAATAAGACCTTCACTGAAAGCATGAATAAATTTTTAAATAAATGGTCCATTCACTCTTATTTTCTTCCACCCTTCCTCACTCCTTTATGAATAAATCTTCATGTGATGCCTTCAGAATATTCATCAACAGCACTGGGATGCAACTACTTCAGCTGGTGTGCTCCTCCAATGGGGAGCAGCTTTACCAACCACAGCCTCTTCCATGGCCTATGTCTGTGTGCAGACAGCTATGAGGAAGAGAATGACTGTGCTTTCTCCCCATTCAGACCCCAAGCCCTCATTTAACTTGCAGTACCAGACATCAGACACAAAGGTCAGTTCTCCAAGTCATTTTAGCCAAAAAAGCTGGAAGGAGATTGTAACAGCTAATTACCCAGACATTATGTATCCTATACTTTTGCTTGAACATACAGAGCTGCAAAGGATTATGTGGCTAATTATCTTGTAAATTCCATAGCCTTGAGTGTGAGAAAGGGCATCAAGCTCATCAATGACACCAGACAACTTCCAGGTACACTCACTTCATTAGTATTTTTTATGGAGGCATTACATTTCCTTTCTTTGCTTCAAAATATGTAAACCACTGTCTTTCGTAGAAGCAAAAGAAAATACGCACGTTCATAGAGTCATAGAATGGTTTAGGTTAACAGGGACCTTAAAGAGCACCTTGTTCCAATCCCCCAGCCATGGGCAGGGACACCTCCCACCAGACCAGGCTGCCAAAGCCCAATCCAGCCTGGCCTTGAACACCTCCAGGGATGGCACATCCACAGCTTCTCTGGGCAACCTGTTCCAGTGTCTCACCACCCTCACAGGAAAGAATTTTCCCCCAATATCTAATCTAAATCTAAAACTCTTTCAGTTTAAAAATGTTACCCCTTGTCCTATCACTCCATTCCCTCATAAGATCCCTCCCCATCTTTCCTGTAGGCCCCCTTTAAGTATTGAAAGGCCACTGTAAGGTCTCCCCAGAGCCGAGCCTTGTCCTCTCCTCTCCTCGCTGAACAACCCCAATTCTCTCAGCCTGTCCTCATCAGAGAGTTGCTCCAGCCCTCTTCGTGTCCCTCCTCTGGACCCTCTTCAACAGGTCTGGTTCCTTATGTTGGGGGCCTTAGAGCTGGAAGCAGTCCTCCGAACTTCCTCCATCATTGCCTGAGGGATCTTAAGCACAGAGTTGGGCATTCAGTTACACATCTGATTTTGGTACCCAGCTGCCCTGGGTGTATGGGCCTTGCCTACACTCATCACTGTAGTCTAAACCTTGAAAAGCGCTTGGCAGTGCTCTGCCTGTGGCTATCTTTTCATAAGACTAATATACACAAGAGACTCCCCTATATTCAATATATCTACCTCATCTCCGACAGGAAGAAGGATAATGTGAATACTTCTCAGATCCTGCAAATCCTTAGTTACACAAGGAACAAACAATAAGAATAAGAGCTTTTCAGGAGTAGAACCTATTCTACCAGAAGAGACTACACATCAGCAAGAACCATTAGGGCAATTTTTATTGCACTGGGTCTAACGTTACTCAATCCGCTCAAGTAAAGACCACCTTGAGATGTCTAGGTTGGTGTTACATGCAAAGGTTAATTGCTTTATCTCTCTCCCATCTTCCTGACAGCACCAACGATTCTGAATTGAAACAAATACCAATGTGACCAAATTTCAAATGCCCAACCCTCCCACCAATAAGGAGAAAGCACCTTTAAAGTTCTCTCCTATCCAATTACATAAAAAAATAGAATAGAATACTAATTTACTAAAATATTTCTATCAAGGATTCAAAACCAGCAACTGGCTGTCTCATTAGATGCCCTGCAGCTGTGTGAAACAATACAACCACCAGCTAATGCAAAAGCCAGCTCTAGCCCATGACCTGGAGGAAGGAATGAGTAGAAGTTTGTGTCTGGCAGTTGCATGCTGTATCTTCTGCCCCTTCCCTCTGCTCCAGAGGAGAGCTCATTTCACAGCCAAACTTTTTAGTTGGCTCTTGAGCACAAACAAAACCACCTTTGTGCTGGGAAGGAGGGGAGGAAAGCAATACGAATGGAATTGCTGATGCAGAGTCTTTCTTTCCCTTTTTCCCCCTGCAGAAAGCTGCCAGGAGAGCAGCAGCCTCTCGCAGGGTTGAGGCTGACAGTCTCAACAAAGCAAGTCACAAAACTGATCTGGCTTTTCAGGGCCAGACAAAAAGGAAAATTGCTGAGACCCTTCTAAAGCAATGAGAGGTTTCCTTTGTAGGACTGAAGGCTGAACGAAGGCTCACAAGAGACTACAACTTTAACTCTTTCTTTTATTTCACTGGTTTAGGCTCAAGTGTTAGTTCACAGGCTCAGCCAGCAACTTCAATTGGTAGCACAGTTGAGCTGTGGCTACAGAAGTATTTTTAGACTTGGTTTCCAATGGAAACAGAGCATTCATCACTGCTGTGCCTCTCTGTACCTGCATCCCTGCATTACTTTTGAACCCAGTGACTGCACATAACTAAACCCAACTTAGCAAAAAGCCCCCTCAAACTTCCTACAACTTTCCGAAAACTCAGAGGCCTGGTAAAAGAAAGCAACTCCCACAATAAATTTCCTCACTATAGAAAAAATGACACAAATTAAGATGTTTCCCCCTGTAGAGTTCACATCAGTCCTCTGCGTACCCGGATACTGCAAATCTTCAGCTGGGGCTCAAGCCCCTGGGGTAACTGTCACAAATATTAAACTCAGGAGCAAATCCAATTCAGAAATCTGCTGCTTCTTCCCACTTACAACTTCTCATTCCTTTATCATTAGGGCAGGTCCCCATGACAGACCATCACTAGAATGTAACGACACCTGTCTGCTGTGTACTCTCATCTTTTTTCCCATAAGATGAAGTGCCTAGTCCCCCCCTAACTGTATTTTACAATATGGACTTACCTCAGCTTCACAGAAACCACCTTTTCTTGGTTTTCAAAATGTCCAAACGATATCTGCTTCCTTGGGTGCAGCCGTGGGATCCTTACTGGGCTGTGTTTTGGCAGTGTGACGGCAGACTGCAACAGAAGAAGATGACACATGTCATGATGTGTGGTCTGTCCCAGGGAACAGCACCTCTGCAGTTACCAACCTGTTCCACTGTTGGGCTTTAACCCCAGCTGAAAAGGTTTTGAGTGCCAGCCTTTCTCATACTGCACAAGTCAAGGGCCGAGTCCCCACAGGACTCAGTGCTCATTCAATGGGCCAAGGCGTTACATTGATCAGGGTGCAGGCTGCAAGCACCCCTCCATTATTTTATTTATCTAGATAGCCAGATGCTTCACTGTCTTTACATTGGTAATGCAAGGTTACTATAGCAACCTCTGTGAGGCCCGCATAATCAAGATAGCAGAGAAGAGCTGATAGCTGAATTAATGTATTTATAGCCCTGAATAGGAAACTGTAAAGATTAAAGATTAATAGTCTATGAAATTCATATATACTCTACTCATGATGTTACATTTATTCCATTTCGTCTCCTTTTCAAAATACAGTTATCTTTAAATGCTAAACTAGAGTACATGATATTAAGACAACACTATTTAAACTTGCTGTTTATTTTCTATTTCCGGTTTAGCACACAATCAAACTACTTTAGAGAGTCCAAAGACTAATGTATTATATTATATTTTACAGTATGGTTGATCAAGTTATTAGCGCCTTGTAGAAGCTGAAGTTCTTAACCAGATTTGCAGATTATATACATTTCAACAATTATAATGAGGAAATTCAGAACTAGAAAGCCAGCTTATGGAATATTAAGCATGGAGATCACATTTTCCTTCAATTTCCTTTTTGTTTTCCTGTACTCAACTGGTCTTTTTAAGAAGTCATTAAGTTTCATTCAGCTGAAGCCTTGTGTGCTGCAGTCTGTTTGTTCATAACAAATGAAAATAACATAGAAAAGCTTGTTTGACTGTTCTTCGGCAGACAAAAAAAAAACCATTGCTCCTGAACCCAGAGCTGAATGAAAGTTGCTCATGCTACCAGGATGGTGACATGAAGTTGTATGTGGAGGGAGATATGGGGGAAATGAAGTATTCCTTTTCCTTTTCTTTTGCTGGAGTGTCATTGAAATAAAGGTTCAGCTACTGTAAGAATGTCAGGCAGTAAGCATAGTTTTGGTCTGCGTTTCCTTCATTATTACTACACAAACTGCCTGAGTGGGCACACATGTTCTTATACCAGAAAGACATGGGTAGCTTTATCTGGCTTTTAACTGCTTCAGGTCCAGGACAGGCAAGAAATTCTCATTCTGAGTAATCATCCAAGCAAAACAAGACACCACAGCGGGCCTTCAAGTGAGACTTAAGTAGCATATAAGTCATATGGTGACCTTCCATGCAGACACAAAATTCTGTCTCCATGAGACAGTAAATAAATGTTCATTGTTCTCTCTCAGGCAAGTTCTTTTTTTATTTTTATTTTATTATATATGTCATGCTAATAGAATTCTTCTCTGAGCCAACTCTTCTCCCAAAGGCAGCAGGATTACTTTTCTATTTCCAGGAAGGAGGGAAATTGAGCTTCAAGATGCAGTGCCCCAAAGCCATACACCATAAAAAACCCCCACCAATATCTGCGGAGGAACTGACAGGGATGAACTAAATCCACTGTAAGAATCTTCTATCACTGCAGTCTTGACACAAAATGCAGAAGCTTTTTCGCCCTTGGAGTCTCATAAAGCAGACAGCAGCTTAAGGGATTCTCGGACTGAACAGCGTTATCATCAGATGGACAGTTGGATTTTGGGGGTTTGGGTTGGTTATTTGGTTGGGTTTCTTAGCTTTGATTTCTTACTGTGAGTGATTTAGCTAGAAAAGGTCTTTTGTATCTTCAGCATTTGGCTTTTTTCTTTTTCTCATTGCTTCTTTTGCAATCTGTTGCAATTTGTTTTTGTTAGTCCACAGCCATTTTCCTGCAAAACCACTAATTTCAAAGATATTCAGTTAGGACTGTGGAGGGCAGAAACTGGTTAAATTGGGTCTATACACCTGCTTTTCCAGTATTGATAGAGTTCTACTTAATTCCCATCAACTTGCATAATTGACACCAACCCAAAAACCATCACACCGTATGTCTAATTTCACACTTGTAACATTTAGACTTATTTCTCTTTGATATTTTAAGGCTTTTGGCTAAGATTTTTAAAATTTGCTTTCCTTAGTCTGCCAGCTATATTTAAATGGCCTGTTTCTTAAAAAGTGCTGGGTATGTCACACTGTCACAGAGGTCTGAACGGTGCTTAGCTTTTCTAGATTGCGGTCTCATGTCACGAGTTAATCTTCAGAAAGTCTTAGACCGCATTTTTTGCAACACACATCCCAACCACCCAGAAAAACTCTTCCTATTCTGGCATAACAGAAAGATGAGAAGAGGGCTTTTTTTCAGCCCATCACCATTGTGTTCCCTTGTGCCTTTGAAAATGAACATTATATCTCTCCAGCTAATATGACTATACATCAGTTCTCATCACCTCTTTGCACCCCTCCTGTGTTCTAAGCCTTTTATTTTAATTGACTTAAGAAAAGGTTTCATTAGAGAGGACAGCATGCTGGCTAGCAATTAAAATATATCAACATCATTTCTGCAACCCTCCTTTGAATCCTAGCCCATCTCTCTCATCTTTTGCAGAAAAGGGTCAAATAGTCTCTGAAAAAAATGCAAAGACAGGGAAAAATATACACAGATGTATCAAAGTGTTGCCTAAAACTTTCATAGATCTTTTTGTGTTAAAAGTTGCAGTCACTTTTGTTGATAAAACTAGCCTAAAATATCTTATCTAAAATACCTTTCAAAAAACATGTCTAGTAAAAGTCCCTAGTAGTACAAAGACTGGGGTTTTTTTCCATCTCACCAGGATTTGCATCGACAAACTGCAATGCTGACACTGTCTATATTTTACAGGTGACTTTGTAGGTCACTCTTGAGTCTAACCTAGTGTCTGAAGCACAGGGAAATTGGGTTCCCCTTCTTTTTCCTCCCCAGACTTCTTGGGAAATGGTGGGGAACTCACTCAGCCTCTCTGTGTCTTAATTGTCTCCTTGTAAAAACAAGGATGTAAGAAACACTCCAATGTTTAAACACCTGATTAACCCTTCATTTTATCTATACCTTTACTTATGTATCTTTTGTTATTGAAGTTCATTAAATTTCTTCATATGCTTAAACACACACTTCAGTGGTTTTGCTGATATGGCACTGCAGTGTACATAGAGTAGTCCCATCTCTATGGTGATATTAAAAACATTTTAAGCTAAATAAGACTGTGCTTTAAGATCATGAACCAAGCCAATATTTTCTTTCTTAAATCCCAGGCGATCATGTCCGTGCTGGCTTTGTTAAAGGATCAATGTGGTACTTGCCTGCATGTGTTCAAATTGAAGCCATTAATCTCTCCTGTTTGTCACCTCCAGATTACAGTGGTTTTGCAACCAGAGATAGTATAGCATGCTCACAATGTTGAAACAAAGCCGTCTCTCAGGAGGCTCTACTTATGTGTAAAGGATAAAATTTGAATATTTTATGAATAGCACTATAAGCAAGACAGAAATTTCTTGTTTATTCATTCAAGCTTTGATCCTGCCTAACTGAAGTGAACTATATATTATTATTGACTTTAACAGGAGGTATTTTATTGCAACTAAAAGCATGTAAGTAAGTATTTAAGACACCATTAACAGTAAATAACCATTTTGTCCCAGGTACAGCTTTTTCAAGATTGTATGATTACGAGACCAGAGACCATATGTTTGCAACTGTCTGAAAAGTACCTGGTTACAAAATTTTTTTGTTTTGGTTTGGTTTGGTTTTTTTTAGCAAATACCTGCTTTTAAAGGTATTTCCTGTTTTGCGAAACGCACTTAGGAGCAAGGAAAATAATTTATTTAGGCAATTTTTTAATATTTTGGTGCAGTGCACTGAAAATAAGTTTGTTGTCATAGAGCCTGACCTATTGAGATGTTTGAAGGTACTTTTAGTGATTTACAAAACCATCTAAAACTCACTTAAAATAACATCAAATTCTCACTAATATTTTTTGCTTTGTCTAACTTAGCAAGTAATAAAGAACAATAGGAGCAGATCAAGCAGAAAGAACAAAGGACCCCATTTCCATTCCACACAAGTTTTGGGATATCTTTGATGGACTGAAAGCCAATAGCAGCTGGGGAGCATTTTCCAGTTTAGATTCACTTAGAAGAAAGACAATTTGCCTTTGTGTTATATATAGCGCAGCAAGGAGGGCATAAACTGGAAAATTCATTTCAACAGTGCAAACTAAACAGTCAGGTCAACATATCCAATCTGAATGCAAATTAGGCATTTACAACATGTAGAGACTTGTATACACTACACCAATTAGCCATCTATCTATATATTTTCATAAATTTGGCACTGCAGATGTTATTCCTCACATTACTCCTTCTGAAAATCAGTGAGGTCCACTCTGGAAAAAAGTGAATCACTAGTATACGATGCACTGCATAAGTGGTGATACATACATTAATATACAACTTAAGGAGACAACTTCACAAAGGAAAGTTATGTTTCCCTTTGAAAACTATTGCATGTTGAAAAAGGCATTGCATTGCAAAATATTGCATTGTGAAAAATATTGAAAATTATTACGCATGTCCAGGCGTAATAAATTAGAGGATCTCCTCTCTGGAGACAGATCAGCAAGAAGGGGACATTACAAAGCATGTTCGCATCTGAACATTAGTCACTCTGACCTGGGTAAAAAATAAAAAATATCACCTTTAGACCTAAATACCTATACATACATGAAAGTTACAATATAATATACATTCTTTTAAAGGTACCTTCCATAGCTCGCTGCTGAAGCACTGGCTTGGTGGCTTTCCAAAAGCGCTACAGAGCATTTAAAAAACTGAATCAATAAAAACACTTAAACAACTATCATTACTTACTGATGTCAGTCTGTGCATGCAGGGGCATGTAACAGGAGGCATTTATTATTCCATTTGTGTTCTAGGGTGTGTATAACACAGAATTGCCTGAGTCAGGGGGACTTCTCTGAGTAGCCAGCACTACGAAACGTTCGCCCAGCAAAACTCAAACTCAGATGTCACATCTCACAGACCAAGCATCCCTGGTGAGAAAATCTGATCTTTTCACTCTTTTCCTTCATGTGCTGCAGGAACCTGACTTTTAAAGACTTTTGGAATACCATGGAAGGACCTAACATGAATCTCTTTGCCAGAGACACTCTCTACTTAGCCAGTATTTTTCTCCACTCTTCAACAAGACACATCTGCCTCTTACTTTCTTCAGTAAATCATAACTTTCTTAACCAAGCTTCAGAGATTCCTCACAACTTTGAACCGCCTGTATTTCTAACCCACAGATCTTTACATATTAATTTTATTAAATTCTCACAGCAAATTTTGCCTTAGCTGACTACTCTTTTATTGTGACCTTACTAACAGTTTTTCCACGTTACAGTGAATAAAACCAGGTCCTAATCAGGTGATCTGAGGTTGCTCTTTATCTCCCTGCTCTGGTAATCTCCTGATTAATCTGTATCAAATCCAAATATCTGTGTTAATCGAGGCAGGAGGTTTGATTCTTAAAACTGAAACCAAACACCCTCAGCTCTCACTTTCCTTACAATTAATCCTAGCTCCAACTCCATCTGCTGTCACTTGGAACTTGCCTTTAACGAGACACTGCAACTCTGTTCACCCAGACACATGATATCTACTCAGGAATCACAAACAGATGCTTCAGTTAAAAAAAAAAAAAAAAAAAAAAAAAAAAAAAAAAAAAAAAAAAAAAAAAAAAAAAAAAAAAAAAAAAAAAAAAAAAAAAAAAAAAGGTAGTATAAAACCATTTTGTGCATTTCTGTTGAATTACCTTAATGTACTACTGCTCCTTTACAGGTTCTTTGGCATAAAAGTCTTCTTATTAGAACATGCATATATTTAAAGTAAAAACACTTTTGCAACAGGCAATAGCATGGATTCACACAGAGATGCGCTGGGGATAAATATCATTAACTTTCACATGTAGAGTACAACTGCTACCTTACGAGAGTGGGCAACATTCTGTTGCATTTCAGAGCTGGACTGAACTTCAAATCACGGCACTTCTCTCCTACAAATGCACTGGACCGTTATCTTCTCAGGAACCAAGCCAGAAACACCAGCAGTTTGAGCACTGATTTGAAATGTGCATAGAGAGCATGAGTTTTCCAAGACAGTCTGGAAAAAGAAAAATATATTAATTGCGAAATTAATTCTCTTTGTACAGCCATGTTAGCAATACTATCCACTAGGCAACATTTTCTGATGCAGTACTAGACCAAACTAGTAAATGAGTACTAATCCTTTGACTTGAAAAGAGTTTTGCCTGATGACAGCAGCAGAGTTCGCAGTACTTTGTGAGCTACATAATATGGGGTACATGAAATGAGATACAGAGGAGAAATAGCACTGAGTTTTCTTTTATTCTGGAAGACTTAAGTTACATCAGAGCATCAGATTACTTGTGATCAATGCTGGTCTTCTTAAATCCTTGCCATTTAAAGTCTTTATTCTCTACTTGTTAATCCTTAGAAATATGTAGGATATCTTCTTGGCAACGTACTTCATAGCTTCCCTGCTCTAGATTTTGGCATCTGGACTCCTGCTGTGAAGAGCTCACAAAGGATCTTAAAATTGTTTAAAAATTACATTAGTTTTTCCATGCTAAAAATTATTATGGCTTCAAGTCTATCATCTCAATCTTTTAGAGAACTAGAAGTGTTAAATCACACTGAAAAAATTCTCCCTTTCCTGTGGGAGAGAATATAATAATATCTTGGACTTTAACAATTATCCTTGACATAAAAATGCTTGTATTTAACGGCCCTTGAGAGAATCTTACCCCCTTCATAGGATCCCCAAAGGACCAATTTGTATCTGTGAGAATTTCACAAGAAACAGAAAAAAAATACCTTGCCTGTTGTATTTTTAATGGCAGCTCCTAGCTCCGTGGCATGGAGTGCTGGAGGAAACCCCTGGAGCAGAGATCAGGTGGAGGGGCCAAAGGGGCAAGACAAACTAGTTTATCATATGGCCATACGGTTTATGACATTTCTGGATTCTTGAATGACAGTCAGGGTGAACTTCTCTAAGTAGCTCAGAGAAATAAACCTAATCTCAGTGTACTTACAGTAATAAATGCAAATGATGTTATTAAAGAACTACCATAGCAGACTCAGAAGCTGCCCACAAGAAGCATGGAGAAGGCTAACCTCGAGTAATGGTACCAAGAGCAAACTTAGCCTCACCCCACTGCTTACAATGACTAACTTGATGTCAGCTAGGAGCTCACTGGGGGAAGAACCACAAATCCCAGGAGAAGCTAATGTGTGTCTGAGAAGACACAGCACATATTGTGTACCAGTAAAGCCCCTGAGCAACCAATGGGCTAAGAGACACTGCTGAGCCCCCAAGAGAGTTTCAGAAAAACTGCCAGGAAAATATATGTGCAATACCACCTACTATTAGCTTGCGACACATTTTTTTTTCCAGAACACAGCATTTAGTGTTTATTCTCTTATATCACTTCTAAAAAGTGAAGAAAGCATGAGAGCATTAGAGGTATTCAGGGAGCAGCACACCCATCTCTACCAAATTATGCAGTTCAGTGGTTGCTCCACATGAAATATTGATAGAATAAATAATGTCTTTCAACAAAGACTTGGGTTGCCTTGCTACTTGCTGAACTCACAGCAGACTTATACAATTCCTCCTCTGGGCATAACCATGGCAGAAAACAAAAACAGGTAAAAAGTTGATGTGAAAAACACATTTAGGTGATTTAATATAGGACAGATATTTGCCTTTAGTGGTCATGAAGTCCTAGGTGGATATTAAAGGGTGATTTACGTTTCATAACATCTACTTCATCAAGATTTGATTAGATGGACTCAAGTGACAAGTAGATGTTCTGTCAGACTTGGAGACAAGCAACATAAAAGTCTCTCTGACCCCACGATGGCTTTGATTTTCACATGGTTAAATAGAAATTGTCCAATTAAAGATTTCTAACGTCTGGTTCCAATTCCATCTTCAGATTCACACCTACCAATGACTGCAGAAAGGCAACCAGAGGCAGTAATGTGTATGTAAAAATTTAAAGCCCAGTCTAAATATATTTGGCCAAATCCTATAGTCACTACTCTTCTTTCCCTCCTCCCCACATGCATATTTAGGCAACTGGCTTGCTTAAGCATCTTTAAATAATTAAACTCCTTTGGCATTCAGGCAATCCTCATGCTATTTTCAAACAAAAGGTACATTTCCAGGCTCTTCTAGGAATCTGCCAGCTTGGTCTGCCTGTGCCCCATGTTACTGTAAGCCATAGGAATGTCCATGGCAACCCAGCATTTCTTGCATAAATGAAGTGGCACACGTTCCTTCCCAGCCCCTCTCTGCTGGGAGCTGTGCAGATATCTCTAAATTCTCTTTTAAGTCAGTGTCTACATCTTCAGTCCATTCAGTTCAGTCTGGGCCACTTGGATTGAATTTCAGCTTTGCATGGAAACTTAATTCTCAGGAAGCAATGGATTTCGAGGAGACTGCTTGAAGAATCAGCTCTTACTGTAATGCTGAGCAAGGGCTTCAGCCATGAAACTACAATTTCTGCTTGCAAAAATTTCTCCTGAGTACCACAGTATAAATGCTGACCAAAAAAACCCAGACACAAACACACGGTAACCATGAGCAATAATCATTCTTCAACTACTGTCTTAGTATGATGAAACACAAACAATTTAAGCATCCTTAAAGAGCTGTCTGTAAATGTGTGTGTATATGCAGAGATCTTTCTTACACCACAAATCATGAAAGTTATTGTAGTATGAAAACAGTTCTTAATAAAGAAAAATAAGCCTACTGTTGTCTTTAGCAAGGCAGGATCAAGCCCTTGTTAAGAAGACAGAAACAACATCCCTTGGAAAGTTCGTAAGTCATTTCAGATAATACATGCATAAGTCCAAATGACAGGATGACTAGAAGTACTGACATTGCATTCATTGGGATTATGTTTAGAGAACTGGAAAGGGCAGCAAAGACATATATTTAAAATTAATTATGCATAGGAAGATGTGGAAGAATTGCAAAGGGTACATAATTTCGAATTACAGATATTAGTGGCAGAACACTCTGTGTACCTTTAATATTGCATCTCTACCAAAGAAGTATAAAGAATAGAATGTACTAAATTTATCTCTCGATAATAGGACACGTTTTCAATAGTTAATTGGAAAGGGATTTCAGTTTTCATAAGAAAAAAAGGGGGCAGGTGATGCTGGATCAGTCAGCACGTGTGCTGGTTAAAATGAACCCATACCTAGAGCCAGGTGAGCTGCAGCAAGTACTCTCTCCTGCCCAGCCAGCTGTCAGGAGCTATGAGAAATGGTTGACAGGACTACAGGGGCAGTGGAGGGAGTGAAAAGGGCAAGGGGCATAATAGGACTGACCAGAGGAAACACTGAACTTACTGTGAAAGTGAGGAAACTCGCTCTGATTTGTGATAGGGGCAGATGGACTAGCGAGTAGAAGGAAGCAGACTCCCCTAATGAACCAGATGTGTCCTCCGTGAATAGTAATGCAAATACTTAGGTGACCAAAGCATCAAAGTATAGACTACAAACTCCCATTTTTGTAGAAATGTATCTCTTTCAAGCCTACACAAGTTTTCAATAGCTCTATAAATGTAAATTATTGTATCTATTGATGAATATAGGATTCCAGCATCTCCCACGTAGTCATTCTAGCACCTTTCTCACAAAAAAAATATATTTAATACAAATAAATCAATTTCCCATTAAAATTACATGTCAGCTTTTAATACATTTATTTGTATTGGGCAAAACATAATTTGTCAACTCTTCTTTCCTGACATAAGAAGATTCAGGGCTTAGGGCACTGCCCTTGCGTTTAGACCAGACTTTGATACCCTGGTTTGCTGCAGACCATGCATGACCTTGGACTTAATCTCTCTGTACCTCAGTAAAAAATAAAGCTGCTGGATTTTAAAGGCATGGTGATCTTGATTTAAGAGTGTGGGGATCTTGAATGTGATCAAAGCAAGCATTACACAGTTCATGAGAGGCAGGTAAATAGTTGGTACGAATTGGATGACTCAGCAACAGTCTACAACCCAAGTCCTGTCTAAATCTAAGTCTTGGACCAGAACCAAAGAAGAGTGAGAAATCTAGCCTTCTAGTGCAAATAGGAAATGTAATTAAACTTGGTATTCCAGCTAAAAATATAATAACTATATTAAGAATAATTTTAAATAGAGGATTCTAAAACTGTTCTGATGACAAATTTCTACTTAGTTTGCTGGCTTTTTTAATTTTTTTGGTAAGGCAACAGAATAGATTATATGTCAGTGATCATTGTGCAAAAAATGTCAGATCTGCGTTTGTCATCAGAAATGGTTATATTGATTTTATTGAGTGTTTCAAGATCAATGTGCTGTATTTGAAAATTAACACTCAAAAAAATTAGCATACAGGAGTTTCTCTATCTAAATGAACCTATAGAAAAAAGTAGCATCAAAATTAAATAAAACACAATGTCTTTTGAGATAAAATATTAAATGTTCATTTGTATTGAACCTACCTTGTATTCTGCAATGAAAGTCATATTGCAAAATCCTAATTCACCATCTACAGGATGCTCGGAACCAACCACCAGGCTGCATTTCCCCACTGTTTAATAACCAAACCAACCGGCGAAGTCATCCCTGGAGAGAAAACAAAAAGCATACAGCAAGAATACTATTTTCATTAGCTTTTCAAATCATTGACATAGTGTAAAGGCAGACACTGGAGCTTTTATCTTTTTTAGTTAACAAAGTCAATTTAACAGTGTCCCCAGTTCAGTACAACATTTCATCTGAGTTCTTACTGTTTTGTCAATTGTTAACCCTCTGGCCAATGTAGCGTTCAAGTTACAACGCAATTTCAACATATGCTTTAAATGCTTTGGTTCAACAGGGACACAGCTTTCCAGTATCAAAGCTTCATTATCAGTACTGTGAATTTCCCTATTAATCCTAGATTTTGGTGATTAGAAAAACACTAACAGTTACTCATCTCAGTCATTATCTTCTGCAGTAGCTAGGCACTCTAATAAAATTTTCATTAAAATGTTGTTTCACACGTGGTAGTGAAATTATTGTAATGAAAGGGGACTTTTGTTTTCTTTTGTTTGACAGACAAAAGAGTGAGCAAAAAGAAGCAGGTGTAATAGTATAGCATGGAAAAACAGACAATATCTGAAAAAATAGCTGCTAAATTCTCAAGGCAGGAATATCAGAAAAAAACAATACTTCAACCAGAAAAGGCTGACTGTCTTTCTTAATATTTGACAGCAGAATGAGTATTTGGGCATTTTCAGGTAGAAATGTGTCTTAAAAACAAAAAGACTTTGGCTTTAAAGGTTCTTTCAGAACAGGTAGTAACTGAAAAATTAAGAGTAATCATGAAGTTGTTAATTCGGCTTTAAAGAGCTGACAAGAAGAGACTCTCATTCTGTTTTTCCTATTCCCTTTGCCCCGATTTGTATTAACCTGAGACAATAATTTGTGAAGCTGAGTCTTCCCAGAGTGAAAAATAGTCTGGAATTGTAGAGAGGAGACAGAGAGATAATAAATGTCAAATATTTCAAATAGAAGCACGTATCTGGAATACAAAAGAAATAGTACCTCCTTACTCTCTAACTTAGTCCACCTTCCTGCTACCTGTAATTGCCAGGTTTATCTTACAAGTTCTGATAAGGACCACCACTTGCAATATTAGTTGTACCTCCAAATGTTTTGGCAGTGCTCTGGAGTTGGCCCAGTGAGTACCTTCTCTTACTTAAAAAGAAAGAAAAAAATAGCAATTGGCCGTTTACACTAAAGCCTGCAACTTCGAAGAAGAAAGGTGTTAGGACTTTTCAAAAATGTTTATTCTATATATGGCCTGAAAAGGCTTTGGAGATTTGAGTTCACGAGCTAACAGTAAACAAAGCTGCTGTTTCTTAGACAGATCCTTGTGCAAACCTTACACTCTAGAGTGAAGACTGATTCTTGGGTATAAGTACGTCTAAGTGGAGAGGGAAACTGGGAATAAGAGCCAGGGTGCACTAGTGAAAACATCGGTAACAGGTTCATAGCAAAGTGGTTCTTAACATGTAATTAAGTGGTGGACCTCCCTTCCATGGTATACTGCATGTACAAAAAGTTTATGCGGGTTCGAGAGAGGCTTGACAACCTAATAAAAGAAAAATCCATCAAGGTTCACTGAATAAACAGAAACCAGCTCTGCTTCAGAAAGTCCTTGAGCAGCAAACGATGAAAGCCCTGGAGAGTCTCAGTCTACCCTCTTGTCTTCTCCAAGAGCTCCTGGCTCATTTTTTTTATGGATCACCCTTTTCTGTCCACAAGCATATTTCTATCCTTCTATCCACAAGCACGTTTTCATTCTCTAAGAATGAGAAACAACATAACAATTTGGCCATTCGCCATTCCTCGGCGTTTTCCAGTGGAACACATGAGGACTTAACCTTGCAAGTGCGAATAAAGCCAATTTTCAGGAAACCATGCCTAACACAAGCGCACCAAGAATTTGATTGCTGTAACTTAATTGCTGAAAGGATGCCCCCAGCACAGCATCAGCACATCTGGGGGTACCACACGGGCACAGCTGTGCTGGCTGCCACGACTCTGCGGCAGCAAAGCCTCTTTTGCCAGCAGTAGCCACTCTTGTCTCATAACATAAAGGTCTGAAAAAGGCTTCAAGGAATAAAATAAATTCTTAATGATGCTGTCCGCTTTAATAACTCATTAAGAGCGGAGATACTAGCCAGAACCAACTGTCACGCACCACCAGGATTGAAAAAGCTGTTGATGGGTCTGGATAAAATCTTAAAGAGCACAAAGGGAGCTCTAAGAGCTCTGGCAAAGGAAAGAAATCTCAGCTGGCTGTTTAATTTGTGTTAGCAAACCAGATATTACTTCTGTCTCATGTAAAGCCACTTTCAGAGGAAGAAAAAAACCAGAAAATTCACAACTGCAACTGAAGGGACACAGCAGTAACAGACATCAGCTCTCTCCATGGAAAATGAGGGATTGCATTTGTCACAGCTGAGCTTATAAAAAGGCTGTCAGCTGAAAACACATGTTGTCACGGGGTTTCCTCAAAAGCCAGGTGAGTAAACAAAATGAATGGGAATTCCTGCCTAGACAACATCTGTTCCTTCTTTTTGACCCATTCCCTCTCCCCTCCCCAAAAAGTCCTCCAGCACCTGGGCTCCGCGCAGCCGGGCACACGTGTTTCCCTGCCCCTGGTACACAGCACGTTTTGCTGTCTCATTTTATTTAGCACATCTGAGTCAACCCGCCTGATGATTTCTAATCCTGGCTGTGTGCTGTGGAGGGACAAAGGCCTCCAGCATGGTGAGACTGAATTTCACAGGAAAAACGAGTGCATTAACTGGCTCAACCATGAGTTCTTAAAACTCTGGGGAACAGAAGGAGACTCCACACATCCTCCTTTTCCTCCTATTTGGAAGAACAGCCTAATGTATCCCATGACATTTGCTTATTATAATGCACCCATAAGAAATCTAACAAAAAATGTTTTTTTCTCCCTTCATAATCACTGTATGAGTAACACAGACATGACATAAGGCAATCCAGAATATATATGCTTTTACAGTGCTTTTCCTCCTTCAACAAACTGAAAATGCTCCACCGAAACACAAACTTGAAGACAAGCGATTACAATACTTACATTACTTGTTTCTGATACAGATCATTTAGCAGCATAAAAAGCCCTTCATCACTAGAAAAACTTGTTTGTATCCTCACCACAAATTATAATGTTTCTGGCTTTAACTATGTTTTACTGAAGAATTAAACATGTACTAAAGAATTAAGAGTATGTACCGATTTATAAAACATAATAATCAGAATTGAGAAACAGGGATTCAAGTTCAAATCTTTGTCTTGCCTGGCATGTGTTTTCCTTCTAATCCTTCGTCCTCAACACAACTTCATCTCTTTTTCCAGCAGTCCCTGCTTCTGCTGCTGGATGGATTCTTGTTTCCACCATTTCTTCCCTTACATCTTTTTCCTCTCCCTCCTCACCTCCTTTAAAGTGACTACAAAAGAAACACCTTCAGCCAACTCAGCCTGCTAGGCTTAAATTCTTAGTATTTTTACTGTGGCTTGTGGACTTCATGAATAATGAGACTCCATGCAACCAGAAACCTGATCAACACTCTTTTCCATCACCTCCTGTCACTGTGAGAGTTTAGGAGCACTCCTGGAGGGGACGGACAGCCAAGCTGGCCTGGAATTAAGGCTAAGCCCTTTTTTCCCAGCCACAAGAAATCTCAAAACTTCTCAGCAGAGAGATTTGGTTTCAATGTGCCAGCAAAACCTCATGTTTAGGGAGGTGGCAGGTGGGGTGTGGTGGGACTCCCCTTCCCACCCAGGAGGCACATCAGATGCAGGCTGTGAAAGAGCTGAGCGCCTTCCTACCAGCTGCCTGTGACATGGCTCTGTTCACTGGTCCAGATGGCTAAAGGTCAGAACAAGAAAAAAATGTCTTTTTTGGAAGTTAAGAATTTCGCTTGTCTTTTGGACTGCACGACCCAGACATGAGTGTTCAGGCCCGGACTCACACTAAACCCACTGTGTAAGTAGTCAGAGCTTGCTCCCTCTTGGGTTACTTGTGTCCAGTCTGAACATAACCAGCAAGTAAGACACTGAAATCCAAAATTCATAACTCACTGATGAAATATGTGATTGCCAAGGCACTGAAATTCCCCAAGAAACAGGCCCTAACTGAACATTACCTGGATCTGTATAAACCTCCACTGAAACTGGAGTGCACTTATCCTTCACAGCCTTCTCTAGATCACACAAGTATTTGCAAGCTAGAGGTCTCAATTTACAGCTGTTTGATAAAGACGAAAATTAATAATAATTCCAGGTGCAAAATGCTAAGGAGCAATTGCTGCTAGAATCACAGCTGAATTAGCACATTTGGAAACCATCCATGCTCTCGTGGCTCTGATGAAGGGGTAGCAGCTTTTGCTGACAGAGCAAAAGATTATCAGTGGCAGCAACAAGAGGCTTTTTTAACTCTGAACCGATCTGTGGATGAGCTTCCAGTCCAGCTGCCCAGACATGTTTAGACCAGCAGCATCCACTGGGGATGCTGGATGTGGTAAAGAAAAACTCACTTGCTGCTGAAAGAGCCCAGCAAGTAAAATCAAACCAAGAAAGGGAGAATAAGCAGTATCTAGAGACCACTAGTGAGAAGAGGATGAAGGAGGTGTGGCCTTCAAACACCAGGAACTAAATATATAGTTTTCTTAATTTTTCACACTTTCCTAGGGTCCATTCAGTCACACAAAACTCCATTTCTGCAGGACTACATGACCTGGATTTGTCAAAGGAAAAAAAAATCCAAGTTTGTTTTTAATTTTAAGAAAATAGGCTTGTCCTCTTCAACTACAACCAGCATAGCAGTGAATCCTACTGCTCCTTCATATGCATGGGGATAGTGGGAATATACTTCAGTACTTTTTCAAAAATTTTAGACACTAGCACTTTCCAAAAAATTATCATACAGAGAACAGAATCACTTATGAAATAAAAGTCTTCCAAGGACAAAGCAGCAGTGCTACATGCTTAGTGCACTCGGGTACATCGTGACGTCTGGGGTGACAGGAATTCAAGCTGGAACG